CTAGTACTCACTGAGAGAGCATTGAGCCTTCTGGAACTGGAGTTAGAGAATGAACATATAGGTGCTGGGAATTTAACCTGGGTCCTCTGAAAGAGCAAGGAATGCTCTTAGCTGCTGAGCCCCCTCTCCAGGCCTGTGGTTTGTTTTGTTTTTAAACATCATTTCCAAGAATGGAAGGAAGAACCCTTTGGTTTGTTAAACATCTTACAAGCATTTCTGAGAAGAAACCCTGTCTGGTTCCAGTGAAAAGGTATAGGGTTAGGATAACCTGCCCTCTTCTGGACCATACCATTCCCCACCTTGTAGTTATTTCCGAGTCTCGGATTTTTGTTAAGGGGTAATACTGGGTTCTTAGGATCATTAGCTTAAGTGACGCACCCCCCCCCCTTTTTGTTTTTGTTTTTCGAGACAGGGTTTCTCTGTGGCTTTGGAGCCTGTCCTGGAACTAGCTCTGTAGACCAGGCTGGTCTCGAACTCACAGAGATCCTCCTGCCTTTTTTTTTTTTTTTTTAAACAACTTAAAAGGCAGTTGATTATTCAAGGTTCACTGCGAGCCCTCTGAGGACGAGCAGCAGTGACTGTAAAGCCAGTGAGTATGGGTGTGAGCCAGGGGCAAAGGTCAAAATATTTTATGGTCACAGGAACCAGTGGACTCACATTCTGTTGTCTGTGGTCCAGATTGTCTCTAACATTTTGTAGGGATTGTTTTGTAATAGCTGATTTTTTTTTTTTTTAACCATAGAAACAGCAGAACTCTTAGGGCCACACATAATCCGTGTGAGACAGAAGCTGTGTCTAGACCTTGGTTTTGGTGACTCGCTTCTCCAGTGGGCTCCACCTGATCATGTCTCTGGAAAGCTGCAGATGATTGATAACAGCAACTGCCAACTCATATATGGAACTAGGGCTATGGTGTTTAAAGCACCCGACCCTGCCACTCCCATTCCCACTAGCATCACAACAAAGAGTAGAGTTTCCCTTTCATTGTGGTGGGGTGGCCCAAGAAGAAACATAAGGTGGGCTCCCTCTGTGCCTGAATAGGCGTACATCTCTGGAAAAACATGAACAATCAGACAAGAAACAGGGCTTAAAGTGTCTAAAATCATGCAGAGGGTGAGTCCAGTGGTACAGGCAAAACAGGTTCCTGACAGAAAAATATACATGTGAACCAAGTGTCAGCCTAAAGCTAATCTTACTAGTAGTCGCGAGTTAAGACTACAAGACAGTTAAAGGGTAATTTGAGATGACAAGGCAAGGGGAATTTCCAATCACATCTCCCAGAGTAACTGAAGTTTCCAGGAAGGGACAAGCTGACTTATTGGAGACATTAATTGGTAGTTATGCGTCCAATACAGCATTTTAAAAAGGGGACTAGACTTCATTCCGACAAAGCCAACAATCTTGGGCCAGCTCAGATTCAGAAGGTAGTGTATTCCCTGGAGCATAAAGAAAAGGTCAGGGGCTGCAGGGGTCTTCTCAGATTGGTCAGTCATTGAAGGCCTAAGAGCTGGTAACAAGAGACCTGTCAAAGGAGTGTGCTCAGTTGTGGGCTGTTTAGGAAGGGGAGGAAAGGCAACTAGGAGCTTGTGTAGTTGCACTATCGGGCCAATGAAGTGTAAGGGGGTATGGTGGAGCCTTTGTTGGATGCTGAAAAATGCTCCTGTGATTCCCTGACTTAAACAGTTTGATACCGAAATATAACATAGAAGGCTGTTTACTTGTAAGTACAAGGGATTGCTAGCAGATGGGGTTGAAGAATCTCCTGTGGGTCCCCTCCAGACAGAGAAGGAGGTATCATTTGGGCAGGAGTGAGTGGCTACAATTATTGGATTTCCAGTAAGGGCAAAAGACTTCTTGGTTGTTTTAAGACTTGTCCTCAGCCAGGCAGTGGTGGTGCACACCTTTAATCCCAGCACTCAGGAGGCAGAGGCAGGCGGATCTCTGTGAATTTGAGACCAGCCTGGTCTACAGAGCTCGTTCCAGGACAGGCTCCAAAACCACAGAGAAACCCTGTCTCAAAAAAAAAAAAAAAAAGACATGTCTTCATCTAGATTGTCGCTTCCTGTTTCTGGTTCCTTTCATTTTCTGGAAAAACTGTCAGTCCCCTTAATGTCCCAACAGTCCTACAGGACATGAGCAGGTGTCCTGCCAAAAGGGAAATTCCTGTGACAGTAAAGAGGTTTAAAATCTTCATGGTGTCAATTTTTAGTTTCACCAAGTGACTGGACCCATATATTCATGCAGATGGTCTTATCTCAGGAAGAAGAGAGGGGCTTGGACAGAGGGAAGGAATATGAAGTTGCATATAGGCCGGGTGGTGGTGGCGCACGCCTTTAATCCCAGCACTTGGGAGGCAGAGGCAGGCGGATCTCTGTGAGTTCGAGACCAGCCTGGTCTACAAGAGCTAGTTCCAGGACAGGCTCCAAAACCACAGAGAAACCCTGTCTTGAAAAAAAATAAAAATAAAAGTTGCATATAAACATCCTACTTGTTGGAGAGTCTTAGACTTAGGGGCCTTGTTTCTGGCATGGCAGCCTATCTTTGGATTAACACAAGAGTAGTGAATTCAGCAGTAGAAGGTCCTTTCCATACAGGAACTTTGTAATGTATACCCGAAGTGAATGGCACGGTACAGAGAAGGGAGCTGGAAGCATGTCTCAAAGATTGAGTGTGCTGCAGCCTGAACCAGAAGAGACCGCTTAGCAATTCCCTCAATAATGGGGTCCCTCAAATTGGGAAACAAAAGAGATGACCTCCCAAACATAATCTTTTATGGGGTAAATCCTCCCTGTGAGAGAAAGACATCTTGTCCTGAGGAAAGCCAGGGACAGGATATTGGGTCAGTTTTCCTAGGTTTCCAGGATCAATTTGGAGAAGATGACTGTCAGCTGTGAAGAGACACCATGACCACGGAAACTTTTCATTAGAGCTGGCTTACAGAGGTTTAGTTCCTTACCATCATGGTGCGTCATGGCAGTGTTGTAGGCAGATATGGAGCTGGAGAAGTAGCTGAGGGTTCTACATCTTCATCTTCAGGCAGCAGGGACAGACTATGTCCCACACTGGGCATAGCTTGAGCATATGAGACCTCAAAGCACGCTCCCACAGTGACACTTCCTCCAACAAGGCCACACCTCCTAATTGTGCCACTCCCTATGGGCCAAGCACTCAAACACATGAGTTTACAGGAGCCATTCCTATTTACAGTGACTTCATAGTCCTATTCATGCATTCAACCCATCCAGAGCTCGGGGGGCTGGTAGACAAAGTGAAGCTTCCAAGTTATGTTTAAGATCTTACTGACCATACAAATTATGAACAAGACAAAAGCAGGCCCATTAATGAGCCAATGGCAGAGGCAGCCTGAATCTAGGAATAAGCTTGTGTAAGCCTCCTGACTACCACCGTCAGAGCAGCTTCTGACCAAGCAGAAGCAAAGCTTTCACCCATTCTGAAAAGATGTCTGTGAACACCAGTAGATGTTCTATCCTGCATGAAGACACTTCATCTCAGTGAAGTCGACCCCCACCTCTCTCCAGGGGCTAGCCCCCGGTGGACCTCAAGTACCTTTCATTCCATCCCGGGTTAACCCTGTACAGCAAAGACATCAAGCTACTTGGGGCTAGAGAGATGATGACTCAGAGGTCCTGAATTCAATTCCCAGCAACCACATGGTGGCTCACAACCATCTATAATGAGATCTGGTGCCCTCTTCTGGCGTGCAGGAATACATATCAGAACACTATAGATAATAAAAAATCTTTTAAAAAAATTAAAGGCATGAACCATGACACTTTAAAAAAAAAAAAAAAGATACTGCCCGAGCAACTATGCTGGCTACTTTTATGTCAACTTGACACAAGCTAAAGTCATCTGAGAGGAAACCTCAATTAAGAACCCCAGATGGGCGGTGGTGGCGCACGCCTTTAACCCCAGCACTTGGGAGGCAGAGGCAGGCAGAGCTCTGTGAGTCCTAGGACATCCAAGGCTACGCAAAGAAACCGTATCTCAAAAAAAAAAAAAAGGAAAAAAACCTTCATAAGATTGGGTTTTGGGGGCAGGTGGTGATGATTTATTTATTTTTAATTTTTTGGTTTTTTTCAAGACAGGGCTTCTCTGTAGCTCTTGTAGACCAGGTGGCCTCTAACTCACAGAGATCCACCTGCATCTGTGTCCCAAGTACTGGGATTAAGTGTGTGCCACTACACCAAGCTAAACATGTCACTCTATTTAACTCAGTAAGAATACACGGGTTTTTTTTTCTTTTTTTTTAAATTTATTTATTTATTTATTATATATACAATATTCTGTCTGTGTGTATGCCTGCAGGCCAGAAGAGGGCACCAGACCTCATTACAGATGGTTGTGAGCCACCATGTGGTTGCTGGGAATTGAACTCAGGACCTTTGGAAGAGCAGGCAATGCTCTTAACCTCTGAGCCATCTCTCCAGCCCGGGTTTTTTTTTTTTTCTTTAAACAAGGTTTATTTATTATATATAGTGTTCTGCCTGCATGTGTGCCAAGAGGGCAGAAGAGGGCACCAGATCTCATTCCATGGTGAGCCATCATGTGGTTTCTGGGAAATCAACTTAGGACCTATGGAAGAGCAGGCAGTGCTCTTAACCACTGAGTCATCTCTCCAGCCCCAACATTTTTTTAAAAAAAAAATTTTTAAAGCATGTATATGGAGAGTTAGGTGTCCATGGAGGTCAGCTGCCAGATGGGGGATCTGAACTTCAGACCCTCTGAAAGAATAGACAGGCTCTTAACTGCCGAGCAAGCTCTCCAGCCCCTTGTCTTTTTCTTTTTCTATGTGCGAATCTAATATTCAAATAGTATCCACCTGATGTGTGATGAGAGCTGCATCAACGAGAAAGGTCGGAAGAATGATCAAGAATGAGTCCAGACATCTTTGACCTCTACATACATATGCAAACATATACACAATCAGACCCCAAAATGGGAGACAGGTAAGCAACACAACTATGGATAAAGGAGAGGATTTTTAAAAATGATTTATTATTAATATTTACACACGACTGCTGTTTCCCCTCCCTCCTCTCTTCCTAGTTTCTCACCCCACCTTTGCTCTGCCCTGCCATCCACTCCTCCTCCATATTTAGAAAGGGTAGGTGTCGCACGAGAATCAACCAAACATGGCATATCATACTAAGGCTGGACAGGGCATCACAGTAGGAGGGAAACTGTCCCAAAAGCTGGCAAAAGAGTCTGAGACAGCCCCTTCTCCCATATTAGGAGGCCCAGAAGAACACCCAGCTACACAACTGTAACATGTGCAGAGGGCCTAGGTCAGACTCATGTAGGCTCCATAGGTGTTGGTTCAGGCACTGTAGCTATGAGCCCAGGTTAGTTGAGTCTGTGGGTTCTCTTGTGATGTCCTTTACCCTCTGGCTCCTACAATCCTTCCTCCCCATCTTCAACAGGATTCCCCAAACTCTGATTAATGTTCAGCGATGGGTCTCTGCATCTGTTTCCATCAGTTGCTAGACAAAGTCTCTCTGATGTCTATTGGGCTAAGCACCAATCTAAGAGTATAGTAAAATATCATTAGGTATCATTACAGTGACATTTCTCTTTCCTGTCATGTTTGGTTCCATCCTAGGTTTCTGGGCTATCCATCCTCTGAGTCCTAGTGCTCCAGGTAGTGTCAGGGATGGGCTCCCTTTCAGGGCAGAGGTCTCTGGCTGAACACTGGTTGTCCACTCCCACAATTTCTGTGCCACCTTTACTCCAGCACATCTTGTAGGTAGAAATGAACGAGAGGATTTTTTTTTTTTTTCTGTTTTTCGAGACAGGGTTTCTCTGTAGCTTTGGAGCCTATCCTGGAACTAGCTCTGTAGACCAGGCTAGTCTCTCAGAGAGCCACCTGCCTCTGCCTCCCGAGTGCTGGGATTAAAGGCGTGCGCCACCACCACCCAGCAAAGGAGAAGATTTTTAAAGCTAAAATTTATATACTGTAAAAATGTACAAATTGGGCTTACAATGAATTTTTTAAGTATACACATCAATACTAGCGAATACATCAACACATACAAAACATTTCCACTGTCCCTAGGAAGGTCCCTCTGTCCCTTTTTAACTAGTCTCCTGCCAAAGTAATCACTGTTGAATGCCAGACAGATGGGACCATGGGACATGAACACAAAATCTGCCTTTGTCCATCATCTTTTACAACACTGATGGTGGCAAACGCTGTCAGCCCCAACCAACACATTGTAGGCAAATCTTTGTGAGTTTAAGGCCTGCCAGATCTGCACATCAAGTTTCAGACCAGCCAGAACTACAGAAACCCTGTCTCAAATAAAACAACTCACATAAAATAAAAATATTTCTTTTTTATCACTCAGTAATAATCTATTTTATGACTATTCCACAATTCCTAGAATCTGCTCTTTAAGGGAGATTTAATTTTGTTTTCCACTTAGGATTTTCTTCCATTCTAGCTACAAATAAAATTTCCTTTGGGAAATGCAGGGAAGTAATGCCAGAAAACTAGGTCACACTCCATCTCCTTTATCTCCATTATAAAATCACTGAAAGCACAATGGTCACTGTACTCATAGAGAGCACAAGGAACACTAGGAATGTTAAATATGCAACGTTGACTTCTCAAAAGAAAAGATATGTAACCTGATTTTCACCCAGAAGGCTGTGCGGGAACAGAGGTGGCCAGACCATACCAAGCTCCCACAAGGAGGACCCGAGGTAGTGGTGGTTGTGGGTCTGAGGCTCAGATCAACCAGAGCAGAGACAAGAAGTTCTGCACAGCAATGCTGATTACTGGGCACACGATAGAAACTGACCAGTCAGGGACAATACTGACTCAGGAGCTGACTATGTCCCTGAACCTTCAGTTCAGCATGTATTTAAACACAAAATCCACAATTTTTCCACCAATCAGGATTCAAAGATTATGGGTTTTTCCCATGTGTTCAATCAATGTCAACTCACACAGAATGTAAGCTTTTCCATCCAACCAATAAAATTCATTTGTTCTTTTTGTTGTAATGAACAGCTGTGGTTTTAGAAAACTATGTACAACTGACTATTTTTTTCCAGATTGAACTGTATTAATAAATATACCTAACATAAATTGAATGGTGTCAGTCTCTAGAAGTTTGAAACAATACTGGCAATTGAGTCGTGTTGAGCTGGATTTCCTTCTTGCCTCATAGGAATTACTCTGCTGACCCTGGTGCCTGTTCCCAAGGATGAGCTTACTAGGTTGCAGTTATGTAACTTGTAAATCGGCCTGCTTTTCTGAAAAATTCAGCAAAGTATTCTTTTTTTCAAGACAGGGTTTCTCTGTAGCTTTGGAGCCTATCCTGGAACTAGCTCTTATAGCCCAGGCTGGCCTGGAACTCACAGAGATCGCCTGCCTCTGCCTCCCAAGTGCTGGGATTAAAGGCGTGTGCTACCACTGCCCGGTGAAAGGAGGGTTTTTAAAAGGCAAACCCAAAATGACTTAATTTTTCTGTGAATTTGCAGCTCTGTGAGAAACTTCTTCACTCCCCTTACATACGTCAGTGAGTTACAAAAGCCAGAGCAAGCAGCTAATTATACCATTTCACAAGTTATACCATTCTGAAAAGGGCACAAAAAACCAGGAACTTAAGTTAGAGGGAAAAGCTACGAAAATGGGCACCTTAGCCATCACATTCCCTACTGGTTCTAGTTCATATAAGTCAAATCGATTCATGTTGAAGTACATGTTGAAATACGAGCCTGTAGGGCTCATATTTTAGCAACAGACTTGATTCTGCCTTTAATGTCAGTGCAAGGCCAACTGTGATGCGAAGGAGCAGTATGAAGCAGAGGCCCAGCTATGACCATTAAAGGGTCATAGGGACCAAGAGAAAAGAGACTAAACCAATTAGAAGCCTCAGTTCCCTCCTTTGCCCTAGAATCTAAGTTTTTCTGAATCATATCTAATGTTTTCAATGTAACTCCTGAGTTACTGACACAGAGCAGTTTTTACTTACGACAGCACAGAAACGACTTTCCTTCAAGAGTAACAAATCCAGCCCTCGATGGTTCTGTAAAACCATTTCTGCTGGGAAACTCCTTGTTTTCCATGCTGTCTATGTCTTGGTCTACTTTATTCCTTAGTGTTTGAAAACTCTGGTCTTCAGTATCTAGGGCTGATGCTACTGACCTGTGACTCTTGCTTCATGAGGAGGGGTTAACTACACCTGCGACTGATACTCTCTTTTTTTCTAACAAGGCCCTAATGAGCCTCAGAATGGAAATGTCTTTCATAAGCAGGCAAAAGTTTTATGGTGGGGTAGTAGTTAATAGAGAGATTGACCTATAGCCCTTATAATAGGGAGGCCTGGGACCTAGACAAAGCTAACAATCTCTTCCCAGGCTAGAGTGTGTATAATTTGTCCAATTATGCAGTAACTTCAAGGTCTTGAGCTCAGGGACGTCATCAGGAGATAGAAGTCTGTACTGCAGTAGGGTTGAGGCTGACTCTATTACTGCAGCTTCTTGATTGTGACTGTGGGTGGAGTGGCCTGAGAAGGGGGACAGAGAAATGAGGTACCCTAATCCCTGGTTGAGGCTGCCAGTTCATTTTAAGACCTACAGGATTGGCTAGGTAGGATGGTACCCATTTCTGAATAGTGAATTCTACACCGGGACTGTTTCCATAATTCTTAAATTTAAGCACAAATCCCCAGGTCCGACCTGCAAGCCAGTATTTGGAGCTCAATTCATTCCAGGCCATGATCTTTAAAGTGAAGGGGTCGCAGGTCCCAGGTTTACAATCCCGAGAAAGATGCACTCGTTGAATGGAGATGAATGGGTCTTTATGTCCACCCTGGTCAGACTCAGTCTCACAGCCTGGGGTGGAGCAATGATAATCTCTTTTACATTTATGACAATGTGTAGGCCCATCGGCTGGGCACGCATAAAACGGTGAAGACCAGAAGGATATTTCCCGCATTTTGGTCCCACACCCTGGGTGAATTGGACTGTAACTTTCCCATTCAGCCATGAGTTCACTGTTATCAAAGAAATCACACAGGTTGAATCTAAACACAGGTTGGGAGGTGGCATTCCAGAAAATGCCTATTATTTTCTTATCTGCAATTCAAGACAGTTCCCAATCCCAGACTTCAACACTTTTAGTTGGCCAAATATAGGAGTTACCTACCAAGATTCCCAAAATTAGTGTCAGATGCAGGTCAGCTACACCTTTAGAGGGCAATGGGAAGTTTGCATTACCCTCCATTCGTCACCTTCCCCTGGCTGGTTGTGTCCACCTTTACATGGGATTGGTGGATCCAAACTGCAGTCCCACTACCTTGATGGCCTTTGGATCACAGGATACAGTTCCTTCCAGGAAGGTTCCGGAGTCTGGTTGGGTAAGTGGTGGACGCACACCAAGTCCCCAGTCAAGGGTGGCGCAGGCGGTGGGTGACAGATGGCTCTGGTTGTCTGCTGTGGTGCCTGTAAGGACTTGAAGGAACCATTAGACAGTTCAATAATCTGTGGCCTTCTCATGATAGAATAAGTGGAAGTGGTCGGCCAAACATTTCACTTGTCCTGATAGGGGAGCACCTGATCCTAAAAAGAACAGTAAGGAGAGATTCTGTCCACAATTTAATAAATGGTTTTGTAAATAGTTATTTCTTTCTACCTGTCCTAAACTCTGTGAACTACAGGCACGGTATATTTTCATGTATTCAACTACTTGTTGAGACATTTTGGCCATGCAGGCCATGCCTTTATCAGACCCTAAAAAGGAGGGAAGGCCAAATCAGGAAATAATGTCCATTAAAAACTATATTAGCTGTTTCTGAGCTGGTGGGAAAGGCTTCTTACCCATCCTGAAAAAGTATTTATAAAAACTAGCAAATACCAGGATTGAAGTTAAGAGCACTGACTGCTTCTTTCAGAGGTCCTGAGTTCAATAGTTCAATTCTCAGCAACCACATGGTGGCTCACAAACAACTGGATTGCAATCTGGTGCCATCTTCTGGCCTGCAGGGACACATGCAGAACACTGTATACACACTAAATAAATACATCTTAAAAAAAAAAAAAACAAAAACAAAAAAAAAAACTAGCAAATACCAGTAGGCAAACCTCATCAGAGCAAATTCAGTAAAGTCTAAGTCCCAATGTTTACTAGGTTAAGTCTCCTTTTGCAAGCACCCACCATAGGTACAGGTGCTGGTTTTCCTTTTGTCACAATCACCTGGGCGCAGACAGCAGTGGCAGGCGATTTGTTCAACCCTTTCATCCACGTGGTATAGAAAGTACCTATCCCTGATTAATTTTTAATCTGGTCGATCCCAGGTGTGTTTTGATGAATTTGTGAGAAAGGGTGGCCACAGGGCTTCTGGCAGGAAGAACCCACTCTCTCAGAGGACTCTTGTTGTCTGGTCCAGTTTTCTTCCTTGCTAGTATACATAGGACATTCTAGCAGGTGTGGCTCAGGCAGGAGGGTGAATATTGAGAGAGGGCCTAATATTTGCAGTGGCCCATTGGCTCTGTGATAACTCCTTTTGCGGCATCAGCAAATCTGTTGACTCATCCTTCCACTGAGTCCCCTCTCTGGTGTCCTGGACAATGGACAACAGCAAGCTTTTCTGGCAGCCAAACAGCTGCTAGGAGAGCTACAACCTCCTCCTCTTTGGTTTTGATCTCCCTTCCCTCAGGGTTAGCACGCCTCGTTCCTGGTACAAGGCATCGTGGATATGTGGAATGGCAAAGGCATACAGCTACCAGTATAGATGTTGATGGCTGACTATTTCCCCACCTTAGTGCCTGAATCAAGGCTATTAGTTCTGCCTTTTGGGCTGATACTTCTTGAGGAAGAGATTGAGCCCAGGTTACCTCAATGAGTGTCGCTAGAGCTGTACCTGCACACCTCGGCCCATCCTCACACAGCTGCTTTCATTGGTGAACAGGGTTGCGTCTGCCTTTCTGAGAGGCTGGTCTCACAGGTCCAGTCGTCCACACTGCAGATGGTCAATAACTTAGACATGGTCGTGGACTAGCTATTCTTTGGGGTTAGGCAGAAGAGATGCTGGGCTCAACACTGCAGAAGTTGAGAATCTGATCCTGGATGCATCAAAAACGAGAGCCCAATAATGGGTAAGCATGTTTGACATCTAGCACTCAGAGGCTCCCCAAAGGAGCATTTCAGTGGCGCAGTGACAACCAACTCCTTCCTCGTGGTCCATTTATCAGCTTCTTTCATCAGTAATGCAGTGGCAGCAATAGCCTGGATGCAAACTGGTCATCCTGCTGCAACTGGGGCTAGGTGTTTAGACAAAAAAGCCACAGGCCTTTTTGGTTTTTTGTTTGTTTTGTTTTTTCAAGACAGGGTTTCTCTGTAGCTTTGGAGCCTGTCCTGGAACTAGCTCTTGTAGACCAGGCTGGTCTCGAACTCACAGAGATCCGCCTGCCTCTGCCTCCCGAGTGCTGGGATTAAAGGTGTGCACCACCACCGCCAGGTGCCACAGTCCCCAAGTTTGAGTCAGTATGCCTTTCACCAACCAATTTTATTCATCCACAAACAAGTGGAAAGGTTTAACAATGTCAGGTAACCTGAGCACTGGAGTCTCCTTTTCCTTGCCCTCCCAGCTCATAGGGCCATTTCCTCCTAGGCTCAAGTATTATGGTTTTGCTATTTCTGCAAAGTTAGGTACCCATAGTCTGTAAGCAGGAATTTTTATCCTGTTGTTCATGAATATTCACGATAGCTTGCATCCTGCCTGAGGACAGGATCCTGCTGCCTCCTTCCATGCTATGTCCCAGATTAAGTTACCTTATTGAAGCATAATTGGGCCTTTTTTGTCAGATACCTAGTAGCCCGGCTGCTGGAGTGTTTCTCCACAGTAGTTTGCCAGCACTCTTTCAGGGTGTGTGCAACAACGAGATCCTTCATACATTGCAAGACGGTGATTTCCAGGTGCTCTTGGTGATACTCAAGGAGGTCTGCACTAAGAGCCTCATCAGAGTGGGGAAGAGTTTTTTGCTGTTTTTTTTTTTTTTGTTTTGTTTTGAGACAGGGTTTCTTTTTATAAGAGCCCTAGCTATCCTGGAACTATCTCTGTAGACCAGGCTAGCCTCACAGAACTCTACCTGCCTCTGCCTCCATAGTGCTGGGATTAAAGGTGTGCTCCACCACAACTTTAGAATGGGGTAGTTCTGAAACCCCTGCAGAAGTTGAGACCAGTTCAATAGGTCACTGAACCCTGACTTGGGATGTGCCCATTCAAAAGCAAACATGGATCCAGACTCAGAGAGAAAAAGGCATCCTTTAGGTCTAAGACAGTGTATACAGTTTTTCCTGCAGCTAATAGGCTGAGTAAAGTATAAGGATTGGGCACTTGAGGGTAAACAGTTTCTACTCTTTTTTGGCTTCCTTCGCGACTGGGTATCTAACCTGTACAGGCAAAGCTGAGTTCAGGAGTTGAACAACTATTGTGAGACCAGTGCAGGGAAATTGGTCTCTACCCATACAGAAAACTTAACATAATTTTGTTAGGCACGATTCATCAGCTCTTAGTTTTTCTTTTTTTCTTTTTGGTTTTTCGAGACAGGGTTTCTCTGTGGTTTTGGAGCCTGTCCTGGAACTAGCTCTTGTAGACCAGGCTGGTTTCAAACTCACAGAGATCCGCCTGCCTCTGCCTCCCCGAGTTCTGGGATTAAAGGCGTGCGCCACCACCGCCTGGCCCAGCTCTTAGTTTTTCAATACTCATTTTTGTTTGTCATTTTATAGTCTTCTGAAAAAGGGCAGTTTACCAGAATTGCTGAGTATGGACTTGCCAGGTCCAGAATGGCTTTATTCTCATTGAACAAGATAATGGTGGCATTAAGTTTTCTCAACAAACCTCTACGAATCAGGGGATATGGAAATCTGGTATAACAAGAAAAGAATGAATCACAGTACCTTGTCCAAGGTTCACTTCTTGGCTGGTGGTCCAGAAGTAGACACTGGTTCCTGTGGATGGTGATTCTCTGCTCAGTGATGGGGTTTAGGGGCCGGGTCAGCACTGAATGGGCTGTATTCATGCTTACCAGAAACAAGAATTTTGCCCTCTATTTTCCTATAACCATGGGTTCTTGGGGGCTCACTGGTATGGTGCCTTAGCCCTATCAATTTGATCCAATTAGACTGAAGATCAGCCCTCTTTTTCATGTCTATGAACTTTGGGGCACTTGTTTTTCCAGTGTCCTTTTTCTCTACAATATGCACACTGGTTCTTCTTCATCATGGCTCAGGTCTGATTTGGTTGCCTGAGGGCAACCGTCAGGCCCTTCTCTGAAGTTGGTTATCATTATCCTGGCCAGTCTTATGTCCATCTCATCTGGATCTCTGCTGTTAAGTCTTCTGAGTTATTTATAACAGCTGTGACCTATTCATTCCTTCAGCCTTTCTAACTTCTTCAAATGTTTGGGGCTGACTGGGTAAGTAAAGAAATGTTAGTAATCCCTGGTTTTCTGGGCTGTCCAGATCCTGGTAGGCCTCTTGGAGATGCCCCAGCAGCCCAGCAGGATTCCTCAAATTATTTCAGATACCTCTGAGATATTAAATGGCTTTCTATCCACTACTCTTATTCTGGTCAGCAGGGCCTGGCGATAGGTGGAGAGCCCTGCTACCTTGATCAGTGCTGGGATTCCAGTTTGTTAAGGTTGAGGGCAATATTCACTCTGCTCTTTTTTCCAATAAACCCACTGCAGCCTTCCTGGCCTCAGTAATAAAACAGGATACCTAAACCTGCTTATAACCAACCCAGGCAGGCCGACTGGTAAAGTTTCCAACAGGTTGATAAGGGGCTAAGGTTCTCAGAAAAGAGAGAATTTTGGGTCTTTCAGTTATACAGATCACTGGCTGAAAGGAACAAAGACTATACAAAATGCCTAGGCCTCTGCCCATTTCCTGTCCCTTCCTCTGACAGGGGTTGGGGCCCTTTAGGGGGTGCCTCTCTGAAACAGAGTACAGCTAGGGTCTGGCTCGACTGAGGTGGAGCGCAATCCCACCCATTTTGAGTGTGCAGAGGTTGAGAATCAGTTAGATGGAGGTGAGGGAAAATCAGGATAAACTCTTGGGACTGCAGGCATAGAGTACCCTTCAGACAGTCAGGCCCTGGACTATCTGGATGTGTGGAGTGTAAGGTGAGGAGCCATCTTCCTCCTCTGCAGGGACTAGAACAGAGAATCCAGACATTTTACTAAGGTTCTTACTCCTCCATGGCCTCTGCACCAATGCCTGTCTCCAGGTTTCTGTCCTGTTTGAGTTCCTGTCCTGACAGTGACATGGAAGTATAGGTCAAATAAACCCTTTTCTCCCCAAGTTGCTTTGGTCATGGTGTTTCATCAAGGCAATAGTGACCTTGACCAAACACTTTGTTCACCTTACTTTGTCCCAAGTTGTAAATTACCAAGGGGAGGTGCAATTCAGTCCTATTGATTTAAAGATGAGGTCACCACCTTAAAAAAACGCTTGCTCTGAGCATGGTGGTGAATGCACTCAGCACCCAGGAGGAAGAGGCAAGATGATCTCTGTGAATCCAGCTTGGTCTACAGAGTGTGTTCCAGGGCAGCCAAGGCTATTATAAAAGAGACTGTCGGACTGGAGAGATGGCTCAGAGGTTAAGAACATTGACTGTTCTTCCAGAGGTCCTGAGTTCAATTCCCAGCAACACATGGGGATTTACAACCATCTGTAATGAGGTCTTGTGCCCTCTTCTGGTTGCAGGCAGAAATACAGGCAGAACAATGTATACATAATAATAATAAAAAAGAATATCTCCACGCCCCCAAAAAGAAAATCTACTTCAATAAATGCTACCAACATGACTCAGTGGTTACAATGTTTGCTTTATTTGTGTTTGGATCTTAGTACCCATGTAAAGAAGCCAGGTATGGCAGTGCTTGTCTGTAACTCTAGAGCTGAGGAACTGAGAAGGTAGATCCCCAGGGCCAGCAAACTCCGGGTTAGTTAGATTGTCTCAAAAATAAGGTAGAGAAGCAACTGAGGAAGATATCTGCCTTTATTTTCTATTGCTATGATAAAACACTGACCAAAAATAATTGGGGCAGAGTTAATTTCATATTACACCTCTCAGGTTTAATTTACCTCTCCATCACTGAGGTAAATCAGGGCAAGAACTGGAGCAGAAACCATGGAGAAACACTGCTTATTGGCTTGTTCCTCTTGCCTTCTTATACAACCTAGAACCATCAGCCCAAGGGTGGTACAGCCCATAGTGGGTTAAGTCTACCTACATCATTAATCAAGAAAATGCCTTTCCTACAGGCTGATTTGATTGGAGGTATTTTCTCAATTCAGGTTTCTTCTTCCCAAATGATTCCAGCTTGTATCAAACTGAAAAGTATGAAACTATCTTAGTCAATGTGCAATGTCTTACTAATGTTCCTTAGTAAAGGCACACCATGACCACAACATCTAACTGGGGCTGGCTTACAGTTCAGAGGGTTAGTCCACGGTCAGCATAGCGGGAGCATGGCGGCATGCAGGCAGACATGGTGCTGGAGAAGTAGCTGAGAAGTCTACATCCAAATCTGCAGGCAGCAGGAGAGAGGTTCTGGGCCTAGCACATTATTAGCATTAGTATTCTTATGATTTCTCTCAAGTGTGACCACAGGTTAACAACTAGCTACTTTGTCAGTTTTTAAAGCCTGTATCCCAGCCCTCCATTTTGCAGTTCTCTGGCTTTAGTCACTTGCTGTTTCCAAACACCTCCAGGATCTATCATCTGAATTCATGCCATTTTCTTAGCCCAAAAGTCTGGTGCTTGGGGCTGGAGAGATGGCTCAGCAGCTAAGAGCATTGGCTGCTCTTCCAGACCTGCGTTCTGCGTTTGTTTCCCAGCACTGACATGGTGGTTTACAGCCAACTGTAATTCCAGTTCTAGAAGGATTCAACACCCTTTTCTGGCCTCCACCAGCACTGCACACATGTGGTGCACAGACATACACGCAAGCAAAACACCCGTACACATAAAATAAAAATAAATCTTTTTTAAAAAAAGTCTAGTTCTCAAACAATGGATGCTCTTTGGAGTGTGTTGGTATGTAAAGAAGCCTGGATATCTCAAGCCCAATGTAACAATTCACTGCAATATGCTAAAAGTTCATCTTATAATAGATTCTAAAACAGACGAGGAGAAGCCAATGACTTTTTCCAAAATGTTTAGTAGGGGTTGACTTAAGTCAAGATCCTTATTGGACACCAGCAGGAGGGCGTTATTCCTTCAGAGAAGGGCCGCTTTTGGAAACAAAAGGCGACGGACAACATTCTACTTTATTTCTTCAGCTCTCTAAAAATTTCACACACTATCCTCAACAGTTAGCCCATAGCTCCTAAACAAACTATGGAGCTGTGCTGGTGGGGGGCGGGGCGGGGGGGGGGGGGCTCACTCACCCATGTAATCCCAGCCTCTGGGACGCAGGGGAGGAGGATTGAGTCAAGTTTCAGGACAACCTGAGCTAAATAAATAGCAAGCTCTTGACCAAAAGTAAAATAAAATAAATGGAGCGTGTTGGCGTACGCCTTTAACTTCAGCACTGGGGAGGCTGAAGCAGGAGGATCTCTGAGTTCGAGGCCAGTCTGGTCTACAGAGAAGAGTTCTAGGATATTCAGAACCCTGTCTCAAAACAAACAAACAAACAAACAATCAAACAAAACAAAATAAAAACTAATGGTACCACTCAGAGCTTCCAATACTGAGAACAACATCGTTGTTATAAGGCAGCACAATAGGTACACTCGGCAACTACTCCTAATTTAAAAAGAAAATGTAAATTGTATCTACTCGTAAAGAGGAAATAAATGGAGTATGCGTCTAACAGTCCTGGAAGCTTCTAGGAGGTGGTGGTGAAAGACCCTCGGAGAGGACCTTTACTCCGGTGAAGACCCCGGGACCCAGGCAGACACTCCAAGACCACTGGATGCAATCAGCAAGAGGTTTATTAGGCAAACACAGGTACCTGCGGGCGGCAAAGTCTTTCGGAGGACTTGTGCACCCGCAGACTGGGAGAAGGTCTTTTTATAGGAAAGAGGGCGGCAAAAGCAGGTTTACAGAAGCAGAAGCGTGGTTATTGGTCAGTTGGAATGAGGCGAGGGGCATAAATGGTTTTTCCTCTCCCAGCACAGATGTATGGCAACAGATATCCTGTTCTTATTTTACAGATATCCTGTTTTGCAGACATCCTATTTCACAGATATCCTGTTTTGTAGATAGGGGCCCTGACCTCACCCTGCACTTACATTTGTTTTTTGTCAAAGCCTTGCAGTAGCTTACAGTAGCTAAGCTGGGGTCTTTCATAGGGGCGACTGTTCCTTTTTTTTTTAATTTATTTATTATGTATACAATATTCTGTCTGTGTGTGTGTCTGCAAACCAGAAGAGGGCACCAGACCTAATTACAGATGGTTGTGAGCCACCATGTGGTTGCTGGGAATTGAACTCAGGACCTTTGGAAGAGCAGGCGATGCTCTTAACCACTGAGCCATCTCTCCAGCCCCGACTGTTCCTTTTGTGAACTGCTAATATTCTAAGTTTGGCTCATGTGCCGACTACAGGTATCCTGTTTTCCTAAGCAAACAGGACGTTCTCATGAGAGCCGGCTAGCTGCTGGTCCTGAAAATCTTTCAAACAAACAGGACGTTCTCGCGGGAGCATGCTAGCTGCGGGTCCTGAGGGGGCGTCTGTAGGGTCTTTCAGTGGTCTCTGCGGAAGGGAGAGAAGCAGGAAGGAGACATTCTGGAGTACTGCGCTACTTATTGGTAGTCCAGGGCTTACCTCGAGACCGACTCATCTTCTTCTTCCTCACTCAGCTTCACGCGCCTGGGCCTGGCGGTTCCTCATTATTTCGGGGAACAGCACCAACTGGGGGAAAGCGACGCCCGAAGCCACAACGGGGTGGAGGAGCCTCGGCTTCCCGCTCTTCAGGGGCCGCACGGGGTTGAGGACAGGGCTCCAGTCTCTCCTCAGGACGCGCTCCCGCTTTCCTCCGTGGAGGAGCGGCAGAACTTGCGAGGCGCGGAGCCTTAGGAAGAGTCGGACGCAAAGCGCCGCCTCAAGGATGGCTCTGACCCCTGCCGGCTCCCGCATCACCAACTACACGGAAATGGAATCCCCCGCCTTGCGGAAATGAAGCACTAGGCCCCCGTGCGGTCCCACCCCTTATCTTCCGGTTCCGGGCCGCGCGCGTTCCTAGCTCCCGGGTTCTGCACGAGGCTAGGAGAGTCATGGAGAGCTCTGCGTCCGCCTCCACCCCGGCCTCAGCGCTCACGCCGACCGCTCTGGAACATCTGGACAGAGAGCAGGCGAGTGAATGGGGGACAGCAACTTGGAAGCAGGGTAGTTGGGGCTCGCGTGAGCCATGGGTGCGGAGCGAGAGGCCTAGAAACCCAGAGCGGGCCCGAGAGTGCGTGTGCGCCCCGGAGCCCTAAGGAGGTCCCCGAAAACGCACCCCGGCGGGTTCGCTTCCCTCGGGCCTGTCACCCGTTTTCCTCCTGTTGAAATTGGGCGCTCCATTCTGCAGGGTTACAGGACGCTTGTACGCGCACGTGCGAAAAGTAGCGTCCTTAGGGCCGGGCGTGTGACGCTCTTTTCCTGATGTTCCCTCTGTCGTGGAGGGCAGGAGAAGCTTCGTTAGAGCTTGTAAGGACACCTTGTAAACAGATACCGGGAGCCGGTATTTGGGAGTTTTTGATGGATTCATAAATTGCACTGGGTTCAAATTCTAAGAGCCCAGTACGCTGATTGAAGTTTGCTCAATAGCCGGCCGGTGGTGGCGCACGCCTTTAATGCCAGCACTAGAGAGGCAGAGACAGAGTGAGTTCCAGGACAGGTTCCAAAACTACAGAGAAAACCTATCTCGAAAAAGAAATTTGACCGATAAAAAGAAAGAGTAGCAAAGGAAACAAACTTGTTTGTGTTTATGGGAGCAATGGTTAACCTAAATGGAGAAAATTAATTTATTTCTGTGTTTCTACAGATTAGAAAGGCAGTGGAAGTTCTGCTTGCACACTCCAAGTCAAGAAAAAACAATAATGAGTTACTTTCGAATGGGAATGAGAATTTATTTTTAATGGTGGTATTGTGGAAAATTCCAAAGAAAGAACTGCGGGCCCGAATGTAAGTTCAGGGGTTTTTTTGGTTTTTGTTTTGTTGTTGTTGTTGTTTGGCTTTTCTTCCTTCCGTTCTTTTTTTTTAATGGTCTCATTACAAAGGCTTGCCTGACCCCAAACTCAGGAATAGATCTGCCTCTGCCTCTTGAATGCCCAGGCTTTAAATTTTGAGTGTATCTATTTCTGAGTATATGAATGTGTACCACATATCTCCAGTGCTTGCTGAGGCCAAAGGGAAGTGTCAGATCACCTGGTACCGGCGAGGCAAGAGGTTTTGAACAGCCCAGTGTGAGTACAGGAAACTGAACTAAGGCCATCTGGGAAAGCAACAGATGGTCTGATCTGCTGAGTGCCCTCTTGGGAGCCCTCTTCCCCCACCGCCTTATTCTTTTATAAGATATTTTTAGAGACAGGCAGATCTCAGAGTTCAAAGTCAGTCTGGTCTACAGAGCTAGTTCTAAAACAGCCAGGGCTACACAGAAACCGTGTCTTGAAATTAAATAAAAATATTTTTTAGGTTGCATTTATTTGGGGGGGTGGGGGTGGGGCACACATGTAGAAGTCCGAGAATAAATATAATTTCTCATCTGCTGTGTTGGTCCTGGAATTGAGCTGTAAGCGTGTGTCTTTACCCATTGGTTCATCCCGCCTCCCCATATGCATTTATGTTTCTGTTAGCTACCTTGTGTCAGCTTCCTCTGATGTAGGGTTGACAGATAATTGTGGTCACTCTCCAACTCTCACTTGACCAAGTGTGTTCTGCTTGTTCTTCTTATCAAAGCAATATGTAGAATAGCTTGTTCTCCAAAAAATGATGGCTTGGGGAGGTTTAGAGGGAAAAACACTTTTGATTTCCAAATGTGGAGGTGTGTGCACAGAAGCTTAGGGGACCCTGAAGAGCATCAGATTCCCTGGAACTTGAGTTACAGACGATGTAAACTGCTATGTGGGTGCTGGGAACCAAACGTGGGTCCTCTAAAAGAGCTGCCAGTGCTCTCAAATGCTGGTCCAGCCCCACTTCACTTTAATCTATATGTCTGTAAACACATATGTTTATGTATGTATGTACACACATGTGAAAACACGTGCTGGGGTATGTGAGGGTATTCTTGGGTGTCTTCCTCTTGGGAATGCCATCCACCCCCTTTTTAGGCAGGTCTCATTTGCTTAGAGATCATCAACTACGGATCCTCGTGTGCACCTTCTCTCTGACATAGGTTCAGGGGATGAGCACAGATCCTTGTTTGTACAGTGAGTGCTTTAAGTTGTGTCCCGGGGGGATGGGGCGAGATTCCTTCCTGTGCTGCGGGACTGCTCTACAGTGAGCTACACTCCCAGCCCTCTGCATCCTTTATCTTTATTCAGTTTTTCGCTTGTGGGGCGTCCTTTTTTTTTTCTTTTTCTGTTCTTCCCCTACCTGTCTTAATTGATTTGATTTCTTCTGGTTTTGGTGTGGGTTTTTTCTGGGCTGGCCTGGCACTTTCCATATTCTTTCCTCATGTTAAAACAGGAATTGTCAAAATACCTGACTTGCTTTCCTTCAGACAGTATTTGTAGAAAATAAAGGTGGCACACGCCTTTAATCCCAGCACTCAGGAGGCGGAGGCAGGTGGATCTCTGAGTTCAAGGCTAGCCTGGTCTACGAGAGCTAGTTCCAGGACAGGCTCCAAAGTTACAGAGAAACCCTTTCTCGAAAAAAGAAGAAAGAAAATAAAAGTGTAGGTAAATGGGGCTGACAGGATGGTTCGGGTAGATATGCTCGCTCCTAGTCCAAGTGACCTGAGGAAAATCTCCTGGCACACATGGTGGAAGGAGAGAAACAGTCCCCAAAACTTGTCCTCCCACATGTGTGCCATGGTACACCGACAAAAATTTTTTAGATGAGAGTTTGTTTTGGATACTTTCTCTGGAATCATTGCTCTTTGTGTTTTGTCATTGTTTTACAGGTCTTTGCCTCATAGTATTCTAACAGATTCATCAGAAGTCTGTTTGATTACCAAAGATGACTGTGAGTCGCCTGAACAGACAGAATCTTTCTATAAAGCGCTTTTGAGAAAACATGGCGTGAGCAGCATCTCCCGGGTAGGAATCATGTTGCTACTTTGAAGTCCTTTCAGAGATCTCATTGAAAAGAAATATGATACACTGCTATTTTTTTAGTCTATAGGTTTGGGTTTTTTTTGTTTGTTTGTTTGTTTGTTTTTTGGTTTTTCGAGACAGGGTTTCTCTGTGCCTTTGGAGCCTGTCCTGGAACTAGCTCTGTAGACCAGGCTGGTCTCGAACTCACAGAGATCCGCCTGCATCTGCCTTCCAAGTGCTGGGATTAAAGGTGTGCGCCACCATCGCCCGGCCTTTTTTTATTTTTTACTCTTTAGTTTTTCTTTATGGGTATGTGTATATACCCCTAAGCCTGCGTATATGTACAGTGTGGATACAGATATACTTGAAGTCCAGAGAGGGTTTCAATTCCCTTGGAGCTGAAGTTGCAAGTGGTTGTGAGTTGCCTGGTGGATATTTTTTTTTATTTTATTATTTCTCCTCATACTAGGAATTGAATCCAGAGCCTTACATATACTAGTCTAATGCTCTGTCCCAAACTTCCGATGTAGATCAGGCTGGCCTCCAACTTAGAGGTATCTTTGATTTGTGGAATTAAATTACCCCAGGCTTGGGGGGCTGGAGAGATGGCTCAGTGGTTAAGAGCATTGCCTGCTCTTCCAAAGGTCCTGAGTTCAATTCCCAGCAACCACATGGTGGCTCACAACCATCTGTAATGAGGTCTGGTGCCCTCTTCTGGCCTGCAGACATACACACAGACAGAATATTGTATACATAATAAATAAATAAATAAAAATATTTAAAAAAAAAATTACCCCAGGCTTGGATTAAAGTTGTGCACCAGGTGCTGCCTCCCCACCCCATCTCTAAAACATTTGCTTTTTAAAAACATGCCTGGGTGTTTTGTCAGCGTGTGTCTGTGCGCCTGATAGGTACAGGAACCCATGAAGGGCAGAACAGAGTCTTAGATTCCCTTGCGCTAGACGGGGGTGCACTTGGCTGTTAAGCCACTATGTGGGTACTGAATCAAACACAGGTCCTCTATAAGAGCAGCCAGTGCACTTAACCTCTAAGCTATCTCTCCAGCTCCTGTTTTACTTTGTTTTGAGATAGCATCTTTCTCAATTGCCTGGGCTAGCCTCAAAGTTAGCATTCTCCAATCTGAGACTCAAAAGAAAAAAAACCAGGGTTTTTGTCCTGGGTCTTTAAATTATTCTTCTCAGTGTCCCCAGCATTTGGCACAGTGCTTGGTAAATTTTAGGTGCTCAGAAAGTCATTAAACTAAGAAGGGTGTGAGTCTAGGACTAACCTGAATGGGAAGTGTTAAAGATTTCTTCTTTTGTGTCAAGTTCTTAAGGTTTTTAGTTTTGCTTTTTTGTTTGTTTGTTTTTTCTAGATTATCCCTTTTAGAACTTTAAAAACAGAATATAAAGCCTATGAAGCCAAGCTCCGCCTCCTGGGTAGCTTTGACATCTTCATTGCTGATGAAAGAATTAGACGGCATTTGCCTACACACATAGGAAGACACTTCTATCAGAGAAAGAAGTAAGTTGATTTGTGATGACTGGGCTTCAGTGGTAGGAGTTTTTATCTTTGTGGTGTTCTGACATCTGTGTGTTTTTACAGAGTTCCGGTATCTGTAAACCTTCTGGCCAAGAATCTGTCCAAAGAGATTAAGAACTGTATCACAGGTACCGTCTTAAACATCTCCAAACAAGGTTCTTGCAGGTAACAAGAGGAACATCTATGCAAACCTTTAAACTTTACATGTTATAGCAATCACATCCATTTTTTTTTCTTTAAAGAGTGGTGTTAATGAAAC